CGCAACTGCATAAGGTCATATGAGCACTCATGACACGTTAAACCTTTTCGGTAGGTAGGAAATTTTGAATTTTGCCTGGGTGGCGGCCGAAACCTACTCTTATCGATTTTAGACCACCAAGGGATCTTTAACGTGCGCAACTTGCTCACGGGACCTCCGAGAGTTTTCACCCTTTTCCGAGATGGCTAGGTGTAGATCTTTCCTACCAGAAGATCAGGGGTGTGGCTGAAAGACAGCAGTAAGAAGGAGCCAAGGAGTAGCAGTAGAAAGGCTTCACAAAGAGTCAGGACCCCAGAGGAGGGGCAAAGGAGATAAGGGGGTGGGGACAGGAAGAGGAGACGAAAGCAGACGACAGAATATTGTTAGAGAGCAGGAAAGGAGGTGAAAGGAGACAATTCTAGAGAAGAATTTTTTTTCGGTCGCTACCCTGAATGAGGGGTAAACACCTTAACCTGTAGGCCACGAGAGCCCCTGTTTTTATGTTTATATAGCGTATATTATTTAATTTGATGTTGTTCCTGCAATTTAAAAAAACCAAAACTGAATACTGACACTGGCAGGCCCCTTGTGTGTGATTCCATAATTTACTTGTAAATAATATCCTGTACTTTTTCTTGAATTAAACACGTTTAGTGTTAAAACGGCCAATCTTCGGATAGGTTAACACACGTCTTTATTTGTTAATTTTTGTAGTTGTTTATGTGCTGTTCTTATTTTTTATTTCATTCTATTTTGAAACCTTTATTTTTCATGTTTTACATCCAATGTGGCTTCAAGAAATTCTGGTGCTTTAGATGAAGTTACCTCTGTCAACATATTATTATTGCAATACATACGTCGTCACAGAGAGTTGAAAGCTTGAAAATTAATGGCAACTTTTTTGGCAACTTTTGTCATTTTTGTGGCAATCTTTGGCAACTTTTGGACCGAAAAATGGCAAAAAACCCCGCAGATGCTAGCTAGACGGGGGCCCCCTGACAGACCCGACTCATCGGACCGCCAGGTAACTTTACATAGTGTCAGAAGTGGCTACTGAACTGTCAACAATTTCAAGAAAACACTCACATTCAATGAAATACTAGAGTTTATCTATCAAGAACAGTGCTCTGTGAGAGTGGAGGTCTAGACTAGGCAAGAACGAGTGAACAGAAATGGCACAACATAACAGGGAAAACCAGCAGAAGCAATTCACAGCCATCGTACCCCTTCCATCAAAATTAAACGTAACAGACGGCACAAACCTAGCACAGGGGTGGGAATAGTTTAAGAGAAACTTCGAAAATTATGCGATTGCCACCAGATTAAACAAGGAAGAAGAAGATTTCCAATGTGCAGTGTTTCTAGCGACGATTGGAAAAGATGCTGTAGACATTTTTGAAGGTTTCCACTTCGAGGACGAGGCGGATAAGAAAAATCTCCTAAGCGTCATACAAGCTTTTGACGACTTTTGCATAGGAAAGACACATGAAGCCTATGAGTCTTACATGTTTCACACGAGGAAAAAAAGAGAGGCCTACATTGCACAGCTTCGTCAGCTCGCCAAGTCTTGCAACTTTGGAGACACACAGTTGGAAGACCGCTTAATAAGAGACCAGGTGGTGATAGGAATGAGAGAAGAAAGCTTAATTAAGAGAAAAGTTTTTGGAAGATAAAAATCTCACCCTAACAAGGTGTCTAGATATAGGACGAGCATATGAGTCATCTAGGACACAGTCGCATACTATGGGCCAAAGTACTGGAAACGAAGTTTCAGAAGTAAACAGGTTACAGAAAGGAAAGTTTTACAGGCAAGGTCAGGGCCCCAAGAAAAAATTCCAAAGAAAAGAAAACATACGAAAAAAATGTCACAGATGTGGAAGAGGTCCACACGATAAACAAGGATGTCCTGCCAAAGATGCAGAATGCTACACATGCAAAAAGAGAGGACACTTCTCCACAGCTTGTAGAAACAAAGACAAGAAGTCGGTAAGACAAGTTGAAGAAATTTTCCTGGGAACACTACAGCTGGAAAACGAGTATGGTGTCAGGGCCGTGCAAAGCAACGATGACTTGTGGCACGCAGAAATAACTACAATAAGAAAGCCAGTTAAGTATAGAGTGGATACTGGTGCAGACGTCACGTTGATACCGGACAGATATTTCCAAGAAAAACTCACCTCTAATAAATAAAACAGAGAAGAAGTTATTTAGAGCAGGACATCAGGAGTTACATGTAAAAGGAGTAGTCAGGGCTACATTGGCTACCAGGACTACATCTTCAGAACAGGATTTATATGGCGTCACAAACCTGAATGAGCTTTTGTTAGGTAGACCAGCTATAGAAGCTTTGAAACTCCTGGAGAGAGTGAACGAGGTGAAGAAACAAGGTATACCTTCGGAATATCCAGAGTTGTTTACGGGGTTAGGAAAGGTAAAC